AGCTGTTGCGTGTGGAGAAGTACAACAGAGACTTCCTCTGCACTTCTCGCTCTAACGGTCTCGCTCTCACCCCTCTTTTTTTTTTGGTTCTAATAAATAATAAATATGTTTCGAACGGGAGCATGCGGGCGGCGGACCACCCGTTTGGCTGGCGAGTAGCCTAGACCCAAAGGGGTTAACAATGGAATCATAGCGTCAGAGAAAACTACGTGTGTGTCTACGATCTTTTGTATTAAGCACGCGAAAGGGGAGCGGACGAAGAGTGAGGTCCCGATAAGCTCGAGAGAGCTCGAGAGGTTTCACCGCATAGGTTCCACCGCATAGTAACCGTCATGGTATACATACGCCCCTATCTGCGTGTTCCTCCTGTTGTTGTCGGCAGATCTATCTACCAGTCCGTATCCCAACACACGAACACCCTCCCTGGTTCGTCACGCAAGTGGCGAATCATCAGTGGGGCACTCCCGACAGGAATACCGAAGCCGCCGGCAAAGCCAGCAGCAGCATCACCTCCTATGGTGCTACTAAAACCACCTAGATTGTGAGCAGCGGCTACTCTCACCTCTTGGGGGACATAGCCCGCCGCTGTGTTATCCTTCCGGACTAGAATCTCCGAAACGTTCGCACAGGTACGCGTCGTCCTGCGCGCTCCCAGTCTGCGATGCCCCTGGACTTCTGCAGACGCCGCGGCGGCGCTCTCTCTAGCGTCACCGCGGCCAGCGTCGCTCCGGCGTCGCTGGGCTCCTCCTCCTTCCGTGTTAGCTCGCCTACCAGTAGCGTCAACTTGCTGATCTGCTCTGCGAGCGAGCCTACATCCGCTTTGAGGCTCGTGAGCTCTGCCGAGCTCTGGTCTCCCTCCGACGGTCCGCCAGGGATATTTTCCCCGGCTACGCGGTCCGCCATTTCCTAATGGACTCCCTCGAGGGATGTACACTAGTGTATTCGTACGTTTGTATGTCCTTTACTTGGAAGGGGGAGATTTGTTTTATCTTTTGTATTAAGCACGCGAAAGGGGAGCAGAGGAAGAATGAGGTCCCGATAAGCTCGAGAGAGCTCGAGAGGTTCCACCGCATAGGTTCCACCGCATTGTAACCGTCATGGTATACCGATGCCCCTATCTGCGTGTTCCCGTTGTTGTCGGCAGATCTACCAATCCGTATCCAAACACACGAACAACCGATACCTTCTTGCTGCGGCGCACCCGCCGCGAGGCGTGCGTAGTGGTGGAGTTGGGTCGACACTGGTGTGTCAGGTACAAAGGTGCACATGCGCGGGCCTCCAGGCCGTCGGTGTGGACAGCAATGCCCACCTCATCTTTGTGCGCGGAGGCAGACGCCATCAGAAAGGTGGACGGGCACTATTTACACGGCCGTAGGTTTGCTAGAGGCAGCCGTACTGTCTCAGTGAACTGTGTTGAAATACAGCGCATTACTGCTGTAGGATGTGTGTAGTAGCATAGATACAGCTGTATGATTGCTGTACGCAATGGTACGTAGCATCCTAGTCTAATAAGTGACGTTTGGTAGAACGTAACACGTAGCGACGAGTTATAGCGAGGAGCTCGTTGATGATATGAGAATGAATTGTAGCGAGATCACGAGGGGTTGCGAGCCCCACCGGGCTTACTCCCCAACTATCCCTCAACATCTCAACTCTGCAAGTAAGCTGAAGAAGAAAGAAAGCACAAGCCCCAGAAGCGGCATTTAGCAACAACATCAGACTTCGGTCTTCGCCTCAACAGACTTCGGTCTGAACAGACTTCGGTCTGCATCACACAGACTCTGTCTGTGCTGCACAAAGGCTTAACCGCCTGCAGACGACCCTTGGGTACAGGGCACCTCGACACTACACATCTCTACATGGATGGCACGCAAACTGGTGTCTGAAGAATCAACGAGGCCTCAACAGAAGAAGACCTTCATCGTCGCGAGCGATCAACGGAACGGCAAGTACTGCAGACCGCCGACACGACAGCAGCAGAGGAAACAAGAGAGTACGGCCAGTGGCTGCAGAATTAGCTACCCTGCCGCGCTGAACAAGAACCCCCGGGAGTGAGCTGAGACTGCTCGGTGGAATACAAGTCCAACATCATCGTGTTCTACCAAGAAGAAGGCCTGAAGCAGCGGGCACCGGACGGGCATTTGAGTGCACACTCACCCCGTGACCGGTAAGTCGTAGACCAGCGGGAGCGTGGTAGTTCACCCCGTATACGACGGACGTCAGGAAAAGTCCTGCCGTGAGTATCGACTCTTTGTAGTGGCAACCCTTTCCCGGGCATAAATAATTGTCGCGGTGAGATACGGCCACGCGGCAGGCAGGTACGCCACCAAACCGAGTCTATAGATCGTAAGCTATACTCTCGGATGAGCGATAATCCCTACGTGCAGTAAAGCGGCGGGGGTGGAGCGAGGGCAATTCCCAACCCGTGTAATCGAGAACTGCTGTCGGTGAAATTTGAGTCCTGATCCGGCTAAATTCACTCGACGTCTCGGTGGAATTGGTGACGCTGATCCCGTCACAACCACGCGAGAACCCCACCGGTAGAAGAAGATCTCCAATCAGCGCGGGTCCACATCCTGACAGAGTAGGCAGCGCAGCTGTACAAGACCACCCTTCACACGGTAGCTGGATCAACAAAATTTCCTTCATCGAGAGCAGCGGGAGTCACTGCATTTACAACAAGAAGGAGGAGCTGCATCAAAAGCAGCAGGAGGAAATTCAGCAAGACACGAGATACATCTACACATCAAGGTCTCACCGAGTGGGTTGCCGGCACACATACGCATCTCCGTATATAAGCAGTGAAGCCGAAGAACTCAGCAGTCTCACTACGTACTAGACAAGTCTGACACGGAAAGCTGCAGTTGGAATTTTCCCCGAACTCTGAAGTTTAAGCTGAAGGATTGGTCAGCGCTTCACAATAGAGTTGCGCTGGGAAGAAGGGACTGTACGACATTTCCCCGAACCTTGAAGAGAGCTGGTAACGTGGACAGCACTTCACAATAAGGTTGTTGAGGAAGACAAGAACTAATCGAAGGAATTTTCCCCGGATCCTGAAGCGGGCTGGAAACTTGGGCAGCACTTCACAAGAGGATCGCGCTGGAAGGAAAGAGCAGTTCGAGGTCAACGGAATTTCCCCGAACCCTGAAGCGAGCTGGTAACGTGGACAGCACTTCGACAAATAGGGTGTCGCTGGAAAAGTAAAGTGAGAGCTGTTCGAAGGAATTTTCCCCGAACCCTGAAGTGAGCTGGTGACTTGGACAGCACTTCGACAAATAGGGTGTCGCTGGAATAGTAAAGTGAGAGCTGTTCGAAGGAATTTTCCCCGAACCCTGAAGTGAGCTGGTGACTTGGACAGCACTTCGACAAATAGGGTGTCGTTGGAATACGATCCGAGCTTGAACAACGACAAGTACCCCCTCTGAGCACCGGAGAGAGCGCGGAAACAAGAATTGCCAGGTTTGGCCACCTGCATTTACAATTCGAAGTCGTCAACACCAAGGAGAGTACAGTTCTGGAAAAGAAAGCCTCATCATTTGAGCAAGAAGCCTCATCATTTGAGCAAGAAGCCTCATCGTTTGACCACGGGATATAAACGAAGGAACAAGTCAAGTGAAATTGATAAGGACGAGGAAGAAGATTGGCAGCAGCAGCTGGAACCAGGAAATTCCCCTGAATACCAAGCACCAAACATGGCGCTGTTGATAAAGCGGTANATATAATGTAAACGTTCATCAACCAATATATATAATGTAAACGTTCATCAACCAATCAATGTCTCATTATGTAAAGATGTTTGTTGTGTGCTGATGCAGCACTCGTGAGATGGCCATCGCTTCTTTCGTGAGGTTGTTAGCCCGCTCTGCCGTGGCTAAAGCTGGACGGAATGATAACTTTGTCGGCTGGTGCAGATGTACAGTAGTCCCGAGGGATCTTGGTATCCGTGACACCGCCAACTTGTGAGTGGTGTAATGAAGTGCGATACTTGTCGTGGTTATCTTGATTATGTGCGTGAACGGTGAGTCTTTGATACTCGTTGCGGCTGAATACGTCGATGAGGAATTCGTTCACCAAAGGAGCAACTTGTTGAAATCGGGGTTCCCGTACCAACGACTGTGTTACCCTGTGATTTTATTCTCAGCTGTGCCTTGCATGGCAACGTGCAGCCGGATGCCCTGCCTTGTGGGAAAAGCAATGAAAAATAGTCCATGCCATGTCGTAAGCGGAGATGACGTTTTTCTCGCCGGTAAGTGTCCTGGTCATTGCTGCTTAGCCACGTGGAATGACCCCTTTAGCGCGTGTCGATGGCCATTATTTCCGCAGAAGGAGCATCAGGTGACGAAAACGCCGAGGAGTTGGATATCGTTTTGGATCGAGGCCTAAGGCGACAGGCGTAGAAAAAGAAGAAACAGTTGCTTTTTCGAATTTTAGCGAGTGAATGTATTCTTACAGATTGATGTATTTGCAATGCAGACAGTACATTTCTGATGATTTGCGATCATTGTGTAACCAACCATGCTGGTAGCTTTCTTGCTGGGAGGGAAATGAAACAGATATTATTGAAACATATGTACAATTGTTTTGTATCAATAAATAGGAAGAAGAATAGAATGTACCTGTGTTGGCTTCACTTGGCACACACCGGTTGCCCATTGCAGCTGTAAGGCGGCCAATATACGACGAAACCTGTTGCTTAGCCGTCCGTATCTTTGTCATCATGGCTTCATCGAGTTCACCGTAAGTTGGCTTGGCTGGGTGAGCGAATTATGCTGCGTGAAATGAAGCTTAGTGAATCGAGTGAAGTCAGAGAGCTCAATGAAATGAGTGCGCAAGTGAAAAAGTTTCGTCGAGTGAATTATGTGAGATGAGTGTGTGCAGGAGCGACTGAGTGTGCATTCTCTGTATTCCGGGATCGACAGCCCGATGAGCGTGTAATGAAATGACGTCAGTAATATGGAACGGAATGCCAAACACGAACAGGGGTGTTTAGCCTTTTGGACTCTTCTGACCTCCTTGTAGTCCTATGTTCATGGGGACCCACGGTCCAAGTGTTCCCCACTTCTGTGTTATGCGGAGGCGAGCATGGGCCGTTTCATGTGTAAACCCGATGTTTGGCCGAGTTCAGGCGTAGAGTATCATTTTGTGCTTTTCCCCAACGACCATTTCCATGTTCTTTTAGGGGTCTTATGAAACAGATCAGCTTCACTTTCACTCAGTGCACATGAAGCTCCCTCCCTATCCGTCCCGCCCAAGCTGCCACCAACGGTATTCAGTCGTTTTCATCTCAAAGGATCGCCCCTCAGTCTGATGAGGTCGTGCCTACTCCAATTGAAACGGAGAGCTTCGATCCGGGGTCGATCCTAATTCAAACATGCTCAAGTGCCGCGAGTGACCGAAAGATTTTGTACCCACACCCAACAGAACGGAGAGGAGATGCATAAGCGGTAAAATGAAAACCACAACCATCTCTAGTCTAGCTTTTACCCCCCCAAAAAGAGTGAATATATTCAAGAAAATGACATCCAGACAAAGTCACCCGCCCCGCAGCCCGCATTTTGCGTAGCCTCTTTGTGCTGGTGGAGCGCTAGCGCCATG